TTTTAAGAATGAAAGGGAAGAGAAGTAGTTTAAGAACTTCTTCCGAGACGTTCATGTACTTCATAATGGGGCAAATTTAAAAAAATTCATCAAGATGTTTATATAGTTCCTCATCGTCTAAACCATAGAAAAGTGGAGACATTTGAATGGTTTTGGGCTTAATTTCATATTGATCGGCCCCAAAATTAGGAAGTATGATGCAAGTTGGTGCATGATATTCATAAATATTGTAATGATCTCGAAGAATCATTGGAGGAATTGGAGTTTGAACTCCGTGAGATTGTTGGTTAAGAGGGGGATATCACATGAAATGTGGGTCTATATAGCCAAGATTACCTTCTAGATTTTCCATTAGAATGCCTAAGATGAAGGGTAAGGAAAGGACCACACAAAATTTCAAATAACACACCAACAAAGTAATAAAATCAAACACTTTGCCCCTACAACAAATCAATAATTAGCAATCCTCCACATACATTGATCCCATACTCCCATGCTTTGAACAATATGCAAAGAAAAGTAAATTGCCTCTACGCAAGCTCACGATCTATCAAGAATTTAAGAACTTGCCACCCCGCGGGCCGACGATTTAACTAGAGATTGAGTTAGAAAGAGCTCACAAAGGGTCCTTAAGCAACTTCAATTCATTTTTTTCAATTTTTGCTTAGCTTTGCAATTTTTTAGATTTTAGCCTTTTTATGCTCAGCTTAGCTCCTTACTTTTCAATTCTCCTTTGCTTCACTTTCATACTCAATTCACCTAGCCAATCAAAAACAAACACAATAAGTAACTAAAAATAAAGTAAAGTAAAAACACGATCAAAAGAATACTAATTCCTAATTGTTTCCAAAAATACGGCGTTACCAAATCAATCCCCGGCAATAGCGCCAAAACTTGGTGTGTCGCTTGCCGAAGCAACCAAATTGTAATGAAGTGTGGCTAAGTTTGAATTTATAAAATGCCACTACTACCTCGAACTACTAATATAGCTAGGGTGAGTAGGGATCGTCCCAAGGGATTGGGGGCAATGTTAATATGGAAACAAGGTCGGACTAGTAGGTCAAGTGATCAAAAGACGGTTTGATTGGTTAATTAAACTACAATGTAAATAAATTTAATGCAAAGCAATTAAAATAAATAAAGGGTAGAGAACAAGAGAGAAAGGTCTTGGGATCTAGAGGTCACCACTAAATATCACTTTTTCTAGACACTCAATGTGTAATGAATGAGGGGAAATATGTGTTGTAATACAAATAGATGTGATTAATTGAATCAACAAGCATAGATGACTAATTAAGTATACATTGTCTAGACAACCTAGTGAATAGCACAATATATCAAACTAAGCTATTATTCCCTCCTTTAAGCTCACAATCAACACACTAAAAAGTTAGAGAATTATACTACTTGCATTAATAAGTATGGAACATCAACAAGCATGAATTGTCCTCCTATCTAGGAAAATAAGGCAATTGCACTATAACTAAGCTAGATGCATGAAAATTAAGCTAACTAAACTAAGGTAGATGCACAATCAATCAAGAAATGAGTATGAATGATCAAACAAATCACAAGAGTATTCTATTTAAGCACTATGCCTTAACAATCTCTAGATTCATAGCATCAATACACATAGACATGCATCAATATCACAAAACTAAGAGATAAACACATGAACATCTATTCTAGCATACATAGACATATGAATAGAATGAAATGATCAATTGGAAGTATTAAACAACACAACTCATTGTAAAAACAAGATTTATATATAAATCAAATGTCAAGACAAGATTACAACACAAATCCCCTTAAACTACAAAACATCAAGGTCTAGAAGGCATGGTTAGGACTAACTCTAGCCCCAAGAAGATGTTTAACCACTCATTGATGTAGTCATCTAACCCTCAAGGGCCATCTCCATGGCAAGAATGATCTTTTTCTTGATGGAAACCCTAGATGAATGGAAGAACTCTCAAATAGTGTATGTCTCTCTAATCTCTAGCCTCCTCTCCAAGATCGTATATGATAATATATGATAATTTGATGTAGAAATGGCTCAAAATCCTTATATAGGTAGCTTAAGTGTCACACCCCACGGTTAGGTCTCGTACACTAGGGTCCCTTCAATGATTGCACCACGAGCCATCTTTTAATAAGTTGGACTCTGTTTTATTTTGGACTTGAGGAGGTTCGATCGATCGAATTCCGATGAGATCGATCGAACTCTGGCCAGATCAATCGAAGTATGGCCAGATCGATCAAACCTTGGCGGCACCTTTTTGGAAAGAGACAAATCTGATATATTTTTGGGATATTTTGGGAAAAAGACAAAAGTGATAGGTAGGGATAAGATCAAGGAAGTTCGATCGATCTGGAGAAAGTTGGATCGATCGAAGATGGAAATTCTTGAGGATTAGGACAAGGGGTTGATCCATCTTGGCAAGGCTAGATCAATCATTGTGAGATCGATCAAAAATATGTCTGATCGATTGAAGCTTGCTGTTTTCCATCACTTTGCTTCCACTTTGCTCCATTCTTCGATTTAGCTTGGGATTGCTCTTTAGCTGAATTGACTTATTTTGGAGATAAGCGCCTGAAAAGGGTAATAATATGAAATTAATTTAAAACGGAAAAAAAAAAGAAGATAGATAAAGGTCCTAAAATAGTCGAGCTTAAGGGGTTTAAATGCGCATTTTTCAGCGTTCATCACACCCCCAAACTTAAATATTGCTAGTCCCAAGCAATGAACTACAAAGTAAAGGAATGAAATGAACATTTATGCAACTATGATCTAGAAAGTAATAAAAGGATAATGCCACTTTTGTAGGGAACACGATTGCATTTAGTATATGCAACAAGCCTTTTAAACCCCTAGGTTACCCTTAGTGGACGGGTGAAGTCTCGTGAGAGTTTTCAAAAATGATACCCACAAATATTAAGCTCATTCTCACAAAAGAGGCACCAATATTGCAAACAAGCATTGGAAGAAAACTACCTCAAGTTTGCAAATTTTCAACCATTTCCAAGCAATCTCTTAAAATTTCAACATCAAGCAAGCAAGTATGGTCCTTCACACATCAAGAAAATGATCATGTAAATCAAAACAACTCTAAAATTCTTTTTAAGTAGACCGGCATCAAATATGTTGCTATCTAAGACAACTAAAGAAATGATTACATCCTTACTCTCAAACTCGCACACAAATCTAATCTCGATCATCAAGACAAAGAGTGGATCTTTTATTAAAGTTTTATTGATCTAGGTGCGCTTATTCTTTTCTCTAGATTTTTTTTTTATTTTTTATTTTATTATTATTATTTTTAAATCCTAAGGATCAAAGATAGAAACATAGTGCAATGTGTTGATCTATTAAGCTTTCTAGCGATCCATGAGGTCAAACGTTAGGTCAATGACTCCCAAATTAGACGGCCTTAGGGCATTAGGTGTTTAAACACCCATAAGGACTTACAAGCTCAAATCAATTAGGCTACAAACCAAAATAACCTCCATATAATCATTTCCCACTTCTCACCTTTTGGGAGAAGTGCTCACTTTTTTATTACTTTTGCAACTTTTTGTTTTTCTTTTCTTTTATTTTTTATTTTTTTATTTTTTTCAACATTCAATTATTAACCTAGAGTTTGGGCCCTCCATCTTTCGGCACGAAAAATTCAGTATTTGATGAGGCTAGAATCCCGACTACTTAGTGAAAAGGGTTTGTTATCCACCTTTATCAAGAATGAAAACTTTCAATGCACTACTGACTCAATTAGGATATAACCAATTCAATAATCAACAAAGCATGTACCCCACAAATGAATGTTAGTTTGTACCTGTGCTAGTGTAGAATCCTAGAGTGAATCTCAAAACAATCACAAAATCAAGATGATGTGGACCACAAGTGTAAGTAAAATATCATTTATTCGAAAAATTTACTTATAAATGGCATCCACAAGGCATACAAGGAGTATTGGACTCTCAAGTCAAATAATTTTTAAATTCTAAACAATATAGTCCTCAAAAGATCAAAATCATAGTTAGAATGGATTTCACATGGAAAGAAGTATGCAGAAGATGTCCAATATTTTTTTTTTAGAAGAGGCCAAGAAAGCACCACCAGAAAATTGTATATACGCACATACATACCGTGGGGTTCAGAAGCTTTTGCCTTTGAATCGCGTGATTACTTATACTGAGAAATCGAAGAGAAAGATATAAAAACGTGAGATCCTCCCTTTAACAACCACAAATTAGGGTTTTAGTGGAAGAAACTTCGAATAGACTCACACAATTGAGAGAACAAACACGATCTAGAGGAAGGAACACAGGAAAACGTTTGAAATTTCTCTACCAAGCATGAACTAGGGTTTCGGCATACTTTAAATCGCCTCACACAGGTCACAGAACAGAAACAGACGAAAGCAAATACAACGGAGATTACAAAGAAAAACGTAGTAGGATCAGTGATTTGTCAACCTCGAAGACAATCGAGAGCACACATCGGGGTTTCAATGGAATTGCCTCTCAGTCGCCTCAGATGTGCAAAGACGAAGAGAGAGAAACGTGAGGCAGAAATGAGGCTAGGGTTTACAAAAATATGTTTTATACTTGATATGCCCGCTACAGTAATTTGGTGTAAGTATGTTTTTAGTTTGGGCCTTGATATGGCCGTTACAGTGTCGAAAACCCCAATATCACCATTCTATTGATATGGGTTTTGCCCAAATTTTTTTTATGTTAGTTTTGATATTGTTCAATACCACATCAACCCACCCCAAACGTGATAAAGGCCCAAAATACAAAACCAAAACACTCAAAACAATATCAAACACCATGCCAAACAGGCCTTAGGTTTTGTGAATGATATGTTATATTAAAATACACTTCCACAATTTATTTTTAATTTTTTAACGAGAAAAAAAGAAAAAAGAAAAAGAAAAAAAAGAAGAAGCAAAGGGTGGGCCGTCGGTGCTATTTTAAAAAACAGAATACCTAAATTACCCTTATCAAGATCCCGAGGTTAGGGTTTGGTCGCTGCTCCCCTCTGCCTCGTATTTACTTCCGTTTCACAATTAGTGCACAAAAAAAAAAAAACAAAAATATCAGTCTCATTCTTGGATTGAGGGGCGAGGGTAATTATAGCCGCTCAGCTCACCTTTACTGCTACAACTGGCCGCCGTTGTCGTCTCCGTCGTCTGCGGTGGTTGTTTACATAGGTTGGTTCCATCGAATGCATACATAGATACATATATTGATATGATAAATCTATATATATCAGTATGTTACACACATCTGTTTCTTCTTTCATCGCCTCTTGATCCCTTCTCATGATCACCGTCTTCTTGATTCTATTCTTTCCGGAGGGTAAAGAATCTTTTTTTTTTTTTCCTTATAGATTCAACTCAGCTTCTCTACTACTACCGGTCATCTAAAGAGTAAAGGAATAGTGTTTGTTTTTTTGTATTAACCTTGTCTGTCTGCACACACACATATAATTTTACCTCTTTTCGCTTATAATATGAATTTATTTGTTTCTTGGACTTGCTCGTTGTCGTGCTGATTTTATTTGTTGCAGCCATGTATTCCTCGCGAGGAGGGAGTAATGCATATGGGCAGCAACATCCCTATGCTTCACAATCTGGATATGATCAGAACGTAAGTTTCTTTCTTAATTACCACCAAATTACTAATCTTTTCTGTTCAAAACATTATTCACTTGTGCATTCAACACCCACTTTACACACTCTAGGTTATAATGTTTATTTATTTATTTTCTTAAAAAATTATATTCTTTCAACAACCACTTTACACTCTAGCTTCACCAAAAGTTTTACTATAATTTTTAGAATTGGGTTTTTCTTTGATTGGCAATGGTGTGAAACAAAAGACATTTTAGTTAAAAACCTTTTGGTGAAGCTGAATGCATATTGCAGGAACACTATAGAATTATAAAAGTTCCCATTTGCTTTTTGAAAAACCCATCTGGTGGAAAATGTTTTCGGTACAAGTCAGGATATATTTAATTACTTAAACTTAAATTGGATCAAAGGTCTTGTTTTCATTTCCAAAATTTTTGTAAAGAGAGAGCTTTTGAAAACAATTCCAACTAATTTATCAAAATTTTATTCTTTGACCAACTCTTTTGTATTTTTTTGTAGCTTGGACCTGCTTATACTGGTAGTTCTGTTGGAGGGCCTGATGGGAGCTCTCAACTATCCATGGCATCTCGGCATTCATCAATGTTAGGAGGTCGTCAGGAAGCGGATATCAGTGGATATAGAGCTCAATCCTCATCTGGAGCCCATTATGGTGGGCAATATGGTTCAGTTTATGCTTCAACTACTTTGGGCACTGCTCAACAGGTCAGTCAATTTTTAGTTTTTATCATCTATCTTGTTTTATAAGTGACTTTTGTATGAATTACTTTTATTATCCACACAAATCCTTATCTGCTTTTGCGGATATCATGTACCTTTTTCACTCAAAATGCCTGTATATACATCCTCCATCCTCCATCTGTATTATCAGTGTTGTAATATTACCACCAGTTATAGTTATTATATTTACAAAAGTTATATTGTGAGGCTTGTTAGACATATTTCCCAGAGTATTTGACAAATGATGGTCCCTTGATTGAAGCATGTGTGAAGTACCTAGTATCAGTGTTGTCATAGGCGTGAATGGGCGCGCAGCTAGGCTCCAGGCTCATACAAGCGCAACAATTGCGCTTATTGTGTACACATGTGTGCCTTTGACAACACTTGCGCCTTTAATATGGATTACGAATGCTTTAATAAATAGCTTAATTTATCAATTGTGCGCCTCCCTTCACTCAGGTGTGCGCCTCGCCTTGCGCCTAGGCACCAAAGGACCTCTAGCGCCTTAGTGCACCTTGAGCCTTTGATAAAACTGCCTAGTATTTTTGAAAATAAAAAAAGGTCTTTTAAAATAGTGCGCACATTTAGGAAGTACCGGACATGTCCGCAAGTATATGATGAGTATCTGTATCAAGTAAGGATGGATATGGGTACATCTGCCTCAAATAGCCCCTGAGCTCCATAGCTCAAATCAAATACATTCTCTCTCTCTCTCTCTGTCTCTCTCACACACACACACACACACTCTCATACATATACACTAACTTCATCGCTCTCTCTCTATATACATGTATGTATTTGTATATATGCTCTCCTATCTTATCTGCTGGACCACACACTTTCATATTCTAAATTGTGTATGGTTAGATATGCCTTGTTGCGAAAAGGTGTTACCTCTCTCTCACATGGACAGCTCTTTCTTTGCATACACCCAATAAGTTCAACTATTATCCTTGATTCCTTGCGCTTCATTTGGTTATGAGAATGGAAAAATGGGAAAAGAATGTCATGAGTGGAGGAAATGTATCAAAGGGAATGGAAAGGGTCTTTCCATCTTATAGTTTAGTGGTTGGAAGAAAGGGAAGGGGTCTGGATTTTACCTTTTTATTCTTTTGTAGTAAAAAGGTTTTTCTAACGGCAAGCATATAAAAAAAGTAGGGGGGACCCTTTCTTGTGAACTTCATCCCTCTTTTGGGAGGAAGGAATATGGTAAGCTCAGAGTTAAGGGCCTTACATCTTTTCTTTCCCTTTTTTTTTTTATCCTTTGCCAAAAGTTGGAAAGGCTTTCATCCTTCCCCTTTTCGTCGTCTCACCCCTTTCATTCCATTCTCCCAATGCTACCAAGTGAGCTGTGTTGAGAATTCAGTTATCTGACTTAATTAATAGTTTACATGTTGGCTCGATCATTTGATGCTATTTGGAAATCCTCTTTTATAGGTTCCTGCAATGAGTGCCAAAGGAGCTGGACCGTCTGCTATAGAAGGTCGTAGTGGTTATAGCTCAGCTATGCCAGAATCGCCTAAGTTCACATCTGGTGACTATGTCTCATCTTCAGGCCATGGATATGGTCATAAAGGTGATCAGTTATTCTCGGATAAGATTCCTGATTATTCATCTATAGACAGACGGGAGTATGGTGAACGACAGGGTACTTACATAGGGAGGGATTTACAAAGTGAACCGACCGGTCGATTTGCTGAATCTATGGGTTTTGGTCATCAGCATCAGGTGTTATATCTTCTTTCTATTACTTTCTAGTTTTTTCTTTTTTCTTCAGTTCCTTTTAATTTGTTTCTGAATATTTTAATTCGCTTTGCCCTTCTTCTGATTTCAAAGATCAATTTTCAAACATTGTTTTTTTTTCCGAGAACATAATTATGTCTGAAATTTTTTGCTTCCGTAACAGGCCAATGTGTATGATCGCATGAGTCAGGTATCACTGTTTCATTCAGAACAAATGCTTAAGGCTCAGCCGCTGCAATCTGCTTCCCTTGATGGAGGTTCCAGGTATTTATCTTTGGTGGCTGTTATATTATACCTTTTTTCGATAATACATGGCCCATGTTTAATTTCAAGTCATCTGTTTCTCCGTCATATTTTTTACCAATCAATGACCAGCACAAGTCATTCTTGATTTCTTTGTATGATACGAGAGATTGATTTTCAGTATTGATATTGTAATTCTTGTGCACAGCATACCTGTGCAGAGTTTTGTTAGATAGCACTATATTTCTTACTGCACTGAGTAGCAAAAACATTTCTGGCAGACAAGCTGATTATCTTGCAGCAAGAGGGGCCACTATTCGTCATCCGACACAAGATCTTTTGTCTTATGGTGGAAGAATGGATGCTGAACCTCCCAGTTTATCGATGCTAAGTGGTTCATCATATGGTGGACAGCATGCTCCATCAATTCTAGGGGCAGCCCCCCGGAAGGATGTGGACGATCTTATGTATGCTCAAAGTTCTTCCAATCCCGGTTATGGTGTGAGCCTGCCTCCAGGTAGAGACTATGCTACAGGAAAGGGGCTTCATGGCACATCACTTGAATCGGATTATCTGGGCAGTATGTTGTCACGTGGTGGTCATCCAAGGATTGATGAGCGTAAAGATGATAGGGGCGGATATGCTCGAGAGCATGAGCAAAGGGAGGAGGAGCGTCGTAGGGAGCATTTGCGTGACAGAGAAAGGGAGAAGGAACGGGAACGGGAACGGGAACGGGAACGAGAACGAGAACGGCAACGGGATCGAGAACGGGAACGAGAAAGAGAGCGTGAAAGGGAACGCATTTTGGAGCGGCGGGAGAAAGAGAGAGATCGAGAGCGTAAACGTGGACTTGAGATTAGGCGTGAACGAACTCCACCAAGAATCTCTAGGGACCGCCGTGGCTCTTCATTGATAAAAGATGGGAGATCCTTACGACGAGATTCCCCACGTCATGAAGCTTCACATAGGTGGTTCTTGATGTTTAAATTTGAGTCATGCTCTAGTTCTGTATGTATAGGTGATTGTTTATCTCGGAGCCTGCATAACTAACTTGGTGTTCTGTCATGCTGAAGGCGTCATTCACCTGTTAAAGAAAAAAGGAGAGAATATGCCTGCAAGGTAAAACAATTTATACAAGAGCTCGTCATTGAATAATTATCAGAACTTTCTCCTTTTGTGAGAATCAGCCTTTTCCCTGTGGGATTCGGTGTTGAGGGCTTCTATGAAATTGATCTTGTTCGTTCCTATCATTTTCTCTTTACTTGGGCTTCTTCTCTATGTTATATCACCTAGTGAGTTTTAAGCTATGTGGTTGATTGTCTACTTCATTGGGAATTACTCTCTTCTCTTATGGTTTGGAAAATTCCCAATTTCTTTTGCTCTTCTGCCCTTGTGACATTTCTTCTATATTGCATCACTTCCTGTGGTTTTGGGTTCTATATATGATTGTGTACTTTCTTGGAGTGTTTTATGTGCTCTTTTCCTGGTAACATTCCTTTTGTCACTGTCTTGAGACTACATTCCTTCTTTGTCCTCATCTTATTGGATACCTCTGTCACACGGGGTTCGATTTTGGCATGCTGTTCACTAAGAGATTTCTCCAACATCATTCATTTCGTTGTTCGAGTTATATATAGAACCTTGAGCATGAATCAAGAAACCACGAGTTAGTTATTTGTGATCTAATCTGATAGTGGGTGACTTTAATCTTTGTGCCATTATTGCCATTACAGCCGTTGGATTTTTCCTTGTAGGAGAGGAAAGTGATCTAAACTGTAGAAGCTGCTGAAAAATAATCATATAATTTATTTATTTATTTATTATTTTTTCTATTCTTGCCTTCTTATATTATTTTCTACTTAGTTCAAATTCTATGATTGTGTGTTTCCCAAAAATGTATTTACGACTCAACCCTTTTGGAAAACGGTACTGTGTATGTGCAGGTTTACTCCTCCAGTTTGGTAGATGTAGAGAGGGATTTTTTGTCGATTGATAAGCGATATCCCAGACTTTTTGTATCTCCAGAATTTTCCAAGGTCTTTCCTCTCTCTTTCTCTCTCATTATATTGTTTGATACTTATCTCATTGTTGACGTTCCAATTATGTTTAGGTTGTTGTGAACTGGCCAAGGCAGGATCTTAAACTTTCTATCTGTACTCCTGTCAGGTATTTTGTTCTATATCTCGCTTTTATTTTAATTATTTTGATTGGAAAGGGGACGTGCCTTTGGTGCCACAATTGTTTAGTTCTTCACTGTTACTGTGACACTTCTATTACATATTTGTATCAAAGCCCCCCCACCATGTATTTGTAATTTTCCCACTATTAAATTTTTTTTTTTCCCCTTTGTTTTCATTTAAACAGAAGGGTTATTGATATTTTCTTTAATGTTATAAAGAAATGAAAAAGAAAAGAATAATAGTTCAGTGACATGTCAAATGGAACAGTTTTGAGCATGATTTTGCTGGAGAGATTGCATCTGAGCAGAAAGGAACTTCTGTGAAGTCATCAGCTGATGAACCTGTAAAATCAGATGGAGTTACTGTGTGGAACGCAAAGGTATACCATACCTAAACTTTCAAGTGGATCTTGCAATTGATTTGTGTATATACCTGCATACACATGTTAAGAAATGCCGCATCTAGCATGTTTAATTTTAGACCTCATTGGACTGAACATATTATCCCAGTGGTTCTGGTATGGTGTGAAGATTGGTAACAATCAGCCTGGGGATATTATAGCCATCTATTTGAAGTCTATATAGAGTCATATACTTTTATCAGTTAGTCATACTTCATGGTTATTGGCCTTCTTGGTTTTTTGTTAATTTAATGCTTTAATGCTAAGGATGGAGTTGGTAATGCTGTAAAGCCTTAAAATCTTTAATCTACACAAACTGGTAAGACATTTTGTTTATCTGGGGTGTGGTGAGCATCAAAACAAAGAGTTGTTCTATAAAGGATGTGGACTCTTTGTCCTGTTTTCCCCCTCACCAATGTTTTGCATTCTTACATGATGAATATAATTAATGAAATTTACGTGATTATTGTTTTTTTAACATTTTTTATGGTATTTGATCAAATTGATGCACACACATAAAAATGATTTATGTGCATTGATTTACTGAAAATTTTGCTGATGTTAAGATATAGGTTAGGAAAAACTAGGAAAGATAAGTTTAATGATTAGGGAGAAATTTGGTGTGACACCTATTGATGATAAAATATGAGAGTAGACTTGGATGGTATAGGCGTTTCCAATGCTGACCTATTGATGAACCCGTGAGGAGAGGAAGAGTGATTTGCATAGAAGGTAAGAAACAAAGAGGTTGACCTAAACTAACGTGGAATGAAGTGATGAGAAATGATTTAAAAAATTAGATCTAGTAGGAGACATGGCTTGTGATAGAAAAGAGTGGAAAAAGAGAATCCATGTGGCTAACCCCGTTTGTACAGGATGAAGGCAAGGATTATGATGATGATACTTGATGATTTTAGTTTATGTCCAAAATTCCATTCTTGAAGAACTTTTGATTAGTTGTGTTGCATATCTTTAATTCTTCGAATGTATGTTATTTTAATTGAAATAATATGTAAACTGAAAAGATAATGCATATTGATTTAGCTAATAAATTTCTTTTTTTAATTTTTTTTTTTTTTATCTTATAGTTTGTGTTGCATATTGTAATTTTATTCTGTACTTATATTTAAAATTTATTTTTATTTCACACAAGCCTTACGCTCATCCCTCATGTTGTGCCTTGTGCTTAGGCTCCAGGACACATTAGCGCCTTTAGTGACTATGGTCATTGCCAGGGAAAGTGTCTTCTTTCATTGTATGTAATTCATAATTATGCATCTTTTGGGTGCATGACATTCAGTATTTTTCTTATGTGCTGATAGTGCCCCACAGAATTATTAGAGAACACTAACACCTTAGAAAAATCTCTAATTTGGAATGCATGTTTCAAAATGTGGTATACTTTTGTTTGAAAAAAATAATTTCCCTTTTTTTGTTCTAGAAAAAAGAAATCTAATCTAGAAGATCGAGTGTTTTAGGGGAAGATTCGAGAAAGGGCCACAAGGAAAAAATAGTTCTGCTTATAGAAGATACACTAAGTTATATGTTTTTGCATATATCTATCAAAAAAATAAGTTATATGTTTTTGCGTAATGGAAGTAGAAGATACACTAAGTTCTATGTTTTTGCATAATGAGAATCTATATAAATAATTATTCCAAGATCGCCAATAAAAATCAATTAAACATCAGTGTTTAGAAGGAAATGGATATCTCATATAGAAATATCTTAACACATCGCAACTATTTGGTGTGTTCCCATCCATGCACCAAAAATATGTGTGTTCCAAATAGCATAGTTCTTTGTATGAATTTCAGTAAAGAATATTGTATTCCGTGTTGTTAAATCTATAAATGTCTTGTCTATTTGTTTCAGATGATTTTGATGAGTGGACTTAGCCAAAATGCGCTGGAGGAGCTTTCATCTGAAAAAAGTTATGATGATCGCATTCCTCATTTTTCCAACATCCTTAGGTTTGCTATTCTAAAAAAAGATCATTCTTTCATGGCAATTGGAGGGCCATGGGATACCGTTGATGGTGGGGATCCATCAGTTGATTCTTCTCTGGTTCGAACAGTTCTTAGGTACGTGTGCTTATGTCAATACCTGACACGTCATGTTCAAAAGTCATGCCTTCCTCAGTTTCTGAAATGATTATTATTATTTAGATATGCAAAGGATGTGACAGAACTTGATCTCAAGAACTGCCGACACTGGAATCGTTTCCTTGAGGTAGTCTTTTATATTGGTTCTTAAACTTATTGATCTTAAGTTAAGAGTTGTTATGCTCTGTACGATGAATTTGATTAGGATGTATGTGCTCTTCATTGATTTTGTTTTGGAAAATTAGCCTGTTATACATTGTAAAATTAATTTTTCTTGTGGCTGTTTTGATCTTGCTTTTCGAATTTCTTTTTCTTGGCTAGTGCACTGCTTGTCCACTCTGTTTACACTTTATGGTCCACATGTTAATAACATTCTAATTCATTATTGGTTTCTAACTTTAAGTATCTTTTGAAAAGAAGTGTGAAATTTCAGTGGTCTTGGTTTGAAGATTATAGAAGTTGTCCATCAAATAGTTCAAAGTTTTCTGGGTTAGTAATAATATGACTCATTATTAAAATGTAGATTCTTTCCATTCAATTATATAGAAGTTTTTCTCATCTTGGATGTAAAGTGGTCCGCCCTATTCATATATGCTTGGGGCCAAACACGGTATTGTTTTGATCTCAGTAAAGTGGTCCGTCCTATTCACATATGCTTTGGGTCAAACACGTTATTTTTTTGATCTCAGTAATGGTTTGACTTTAAAATCTTGACTACTATCTAGGTAAGTTGTCATTTTTATTCCAGTCTTTTTTTTCTTACTCTCCCATTTTGCCTTTGTACTCTTATATTTTACTGCTAAATTAACTTCTAAAAGAGAAAAAGAAGAACCTCAAGAACAAAAGAAAAGAGGTGCTTCAAACTTTTGTGCAAATTACAAATTACTTGTGTGAATCTTGAACAGCATCTCAGTCTCCATCACCCTTCAATTTAAAATCAATTATCTTCAGACAAGGTACATCAGTTTTCTATTTGTTGTAGTTACAGATGATGTCATCACTCATCTAATTGTGTATATCAACTATTCATTTGATCAATAAATGGTCACACTTTTATGTATGCAAACTTTTTCTGTGTGACAGTGGAAGTAATTCCAATAGATCTTTTACATATTGATTTCTTTCTAAAACCAGTATGTACAATATTTCAAGATGCATGATTTTATAGTAGGCATCTCCAAAATTATTGTGATTAATTCACTTGGCCTTAGTTCAGTCTTATCAGATGTAGTAACCTTTTCACCTCAAATGTTTTTTTGAATTTCCAGGTTTTTATTAGATATGTTATTTTCTTGTTTTCTTGAATACATGGCATTTTTGGTCATTGATGTCCTTTGAATTTCACAGATACACTATGATAGATTTGGCGAGGATGGGCTGTTTAGCCATAAAGAGGTAACTGTACTATATGTTCCAGATTTGTCGGAATGTCTCCCCTCATTGGATACATGGCGGGACCATTGGCTTGCTCATAAGAAGGCTATTACTGAGAGAGATCGGCTGCTTGCTTTAAAAAAAGAGGTCAGCCATTTTGTGTTTTTTGCTGTGAAACTGCTTTCTAGCCAGTTTTTCCTAATGTATTTTTTGCTACCATGAAGATTTTTGATGAATTAAGGACGGGCTAAATGTATACTTTGATCTCATTTTTCTATGGATCTGACAATTTCAGAGGAAATCCGTAGGTGAAAATCTTCAATATCCAATTAGAGTTGTATACCTGTATGGCTGTTTTGTTTGTGCATCATTTCATCATCCATTGATCATCTGCTTCAACTAAAGCTGACTTAGTTCTTCCAATTTGAGTTGCTTATGTGTACTGGAAGGAGTAATAGAACAACTAGAGCTGTCAGCAGTTCAAGAGTTGCACAATGTCAGAATAAAAAGGATGGGATCGATTAAAAAAGAGATTTGATATTTTTATTTAATTTTATTTTTTCATTCCTTTATTCTTGATAGACATATATAACTTAAGAGAGAAAACTATGTTCTTAAAAGTTTATTTTTCCCTGGCTCTTAAAGTTCATTGGTACATAAGTAATGAAGACAAAACAAAAAGGTAAAACTGATTTATCAAAATATATTACATTTAATTGCACTTGTTCATCCCAAGACGAACTTACCAAGTTTAGTCTGTACTTTTTATTTTTGACTAGTCAGTTACTAAGATACCAAAAATTCCAAGTAGTTTCTACCAATATGCCAAAAGGGAATGAAGAATAATAGAAAAATACAAAGCAAAATTTACTTTTAATGGCCAAACTCCAAAGTATGGTAACATCCACTAGTTCTTCTTCTTTGTAAAAGCACGAGTACAAATGGAATCGTAATTAGAAGTTTGTAAAGCGAGAAGTAATGTTGTGAAATAGGTAGAAAAAAGTCCTAAACTTTAATAAACAACGCACAATGTAAGCTTCAAAGGACTTGTTTTAAACCTGAAGAGAGAAAACTATGATCTTAAAAGTTTATTTTTCCCTGGCTCTTAAAGTTCATTGGTACATAAGTAATGAAGGCAAGACGAAAAGGTAAAACTGATTTATCAAAATATATTACATTTAATTGCACTTGTTCATCCCAAGACGAACTTTCCAAGTTTAGTCTGTACTTTTTATTTTTGACTAGTCAGTTACTAAGATACCAAAAATTCCAAGTAGTTTCTACCAATATGCCAAAAGGGAATGAAGAATAATAGGAAAATACAAACAAAATTTACTTTTAATGGCCAAACTCCAAAGAATGGTAACATCCACTAGTTCTTCTTCTTTGTAAAAGCACAAGTACAAATGGAATCGTAATTAGAAGTTTGTAAAGCGAGAAGTAATGTTGTGAAATAGGTAGAAAAAAGTCCTAAACTTTAATAAACAACGCACAATGGAAGCTTCAAAGGACTTGTTTTAAACCTGAAGGCCCTCAAAACTCATAAAAGAAGCTACAGTTCTAACTGCCCAGTAAACACAGTTGAGTGGACCTGACTGGCAAAACCATTGTACAATTGTATCCATGTCATAAGATATGTATCATAACTTTTTATATGAGTATTGTGTTGTGTGATTATTTAGTAACCTACAATATGGAGATGAGATACTCATCAATTTGCTTAATCTCAATGCACTGCTTGTAAAATATGTATCTCATATCGTATGATACTAACAAAATTCTATTACTCTCTCTCTCTATATATATATGTGTGTGTGTGTGTGTGGTTATATCTGTCCATCTGTTTTTTTCTCTCTTTTTTGAATTTCATTATTCCTGTCTTGTCTCTTTTTCTCTCGTCACTTTGCCTGATATCATGTTGGAGTTGACAAATGAATTGAATTGGGAGGTTTAATGGGTTTTCTAGTGCTGGTCAGTCTCTGTGATAAATACTAGGCTTAGTGCTGAGGATGTATACCGCTGACTTGGCAGCCTGATAAAGGGCTGCAGACCTATGAATATGAAAACATCAGTTCAAATAAATGAAGCACATGGAGTAGAGCAACTCTTGGGGCAAGAAACTCACACACCCACATGCCCCTTTGGGGACTTGGAACCCTCGACCTCTCCCTTTGGGGGTAGAGGAAATACCATTAAGCTACACCGCCTTAGGTAACTCTTGCTGTTTAATTAATGGCCCCTGGATAATATGAGGATCTTATGTTCCTTATTGCAGAGTCAATACATTAAGAGTAAGAACATAATTAAACAAGGGTGATGGAGAATTGGAGTTCTTCCTCTTCTTTGTATCAGGTCTGCCTGGAATTCGAGAACCAGTCTAGAAGGGAACAGTAATTGGGATATGAATTGGATAATATCTCGTGTAGGAAATGAGTGATGAGTTTTGACTATCCAATTTTCTTTAACTCCCACAACAGCACAAACTCTCTCCCCCCCACCCCCCGCTTTACTGCACTGTGTTAGATTCAGAAATATTAGCATTTTGGTTTTAGGATTTTTTTATTTTTTTTAATTGATTTTTTTGTTCTCCAAAAATTTGTGGTACTTGAGTACGGTTGGTTAACTATATTCTTATATAGTAATGCATATATTTTTTTTCTTTCTAAATTTCAGAAATCTAGAGAGAGAAAGGAAGGGCTGAAAGGTGAATAACATTTCAAAACTTAGTTGGGTGGTGCTTTATATCTCTTTGTATTGTTAATTTCTTATCAGCCTTTTCTTCGGTACAGATAAGGGTGTTGATTCCCCGAAAGATATCAAAAGTGTTGATAAATCTGAAAAAAAGAAGGAATCTGTATCCTCCGGACAGTCTATAGATGTCGACAAAAAGGAGAAAGATTGCAGTGCACTAGGAGGTAATGCAGTTGAAAAAGAGGACGATGGTGGTGACAAAAAATCTGAGAAGAAAGGTGGGGGTGAAGGAGCTGGGGAAGGCAATAGCGTTGAGAAGAAGGAACTGGGGGAAGGTGCTGGCGCTCAGACAGCTGTTGTTGCGAAGTTAGGGAAGAAGAAAATTATAAAGAAGATTGTAAAACAAAAGGTTGCTAATAAGAAAGAAAGTGTGAAAGATATAACCAAACAGAATGACAAGCTGGATGAGGATGTTGGAGAGAAGAATGCGAATTCAGAAATCACTGGTCAACAGGATGAGGCATCTGCTAATCCTGCTGGTGTTAAAACATTTATCAGAAAGAAAGTTGCGAAAAAGGTTCCAGTGGGAAAATCTGCTCAGAAGGAAGATGAAGTCATGCAGACTGAGGTGAAAAATCAAAAGGGAGCAGGGGTTTCTGAAGATGTTTCAAAGGGCGCATCAGATTCTAACAGTCCCATTGTTGTACAAGATACTACTGTGAAAACAACTGTAAAAAGAAAAATAATTAGACGGGTGCCTAAAAGAAAGGTCACTGGTGCTGGAGCCAATGATGGGGTAGCCCAGAGTAAGGACGATGGAAATAATAATGAGAAAAAAGTAGTTCAGGTAGGAAAAGAAGTGAAAATTACGGGGGAGCAAACTGTAGCTGCTGGCAACCAGGTTATTAGTGAGGTTGAGTCTGAAAAGAAGATAGTTCCTAAAGAAAAATCTAAAACAGTGACACCTGAGAAGCAAGAAAAAACTACTGGTAATTCAAGTAAGACTGGAAACAAAGTTAACAAAGAAGATAGAAAAGAAGAGAAGAGGACTGAGGAGAAATCTGGTTCTGGGTCCAAAATGGAGATTGAGGTTGATAATCAAAAAGAGTCTCAGAAGGATATCCATAATGGCAAGAGGGAAAAATCCAAAGAAAGGGATAAGTCAAAAGATGAGAAAGAGAGAAAAGACAAAGATGGAAAAGATGAGTCCCGAAGCAAATCAAACAAAGAGGTGAAAGACATGAAAGAAAAGAAAAGGCCTGAAGAACCTCCACGTCACCCTGGATTGTTTCTCCAAGTAAAAGGGAGCAAGGATTCTAAAGTAGGTTGAATTTAAACTGAATATGTTTTAGTATATAATATACTTTTATGCACTTCTCATGTAATAGATACTGCATATGAATTATTTTTTCTAATCATAGTCTTATTATACAGCTGCATTCACTATCAAAATCACTGGATTCACTCTTGGATTATACTGACAAGGATATTGAAGAATCGACATTTGAGGTCTGCAATACTTTGGGAATGTGGTCATACGCTTGTTCTCCTGTAGTTCATAATTTAAGCTGCTTATATTGCTCAAGTTAAAATCCAGCTTATCATGCCAACCTTTTTACATAGCTTCTTTATTTAATTTCTTTTGACTTTTTTTGGGCAGCTTTCGTTGTTTGCTGAATCCCTGTATGAAATGCTTCAATATCAGATGGGTTCTCGTCTATTAACATTTCTCCAGGTTTGTTTGAGGTACTTAATCTATAAGTGCATTGTTTAATACAGTTGGGTGGTTCTGATTATCTGTATGTTCCTTTCTTTCTTTTCTTGTGTAGAAATTGCGGATAAAGTTTATGATGAAAAGAAACCAAAGGAAAAGACAAAGGGAAGAAGTTTCTAGGAAGGAAAGTGAGAAAAAATTATCAACAAAGCGTATGAAGACTGATGAGACCACCGGGGAAACCAAATCTATTAAAACTGAAGCAGAGGAAGCAGCTCATGTAGATGATGTAAAAATAGCTGAGGAGGATACTTCTGTTGGTAAGGTTGAAAATGTGAAGCCAGAGGATGGAACAGATGATGATGAAGATCCGGAAGAAGATCCAGAGGAAGATGAAGAAATTCCAGATGCAAGCCCTCAAGATGTCTCGTTTAGTGAGGCAAGGCATCCTCTTTCTTCCTAGTCTTCTTTTTATTTTATCCCTTTAAATTTATTATGTAGCACAAGTACTTATTTGTCATCTTTGATCATAATCTCTACTTCCCTCTCTCTTCTCAGATACATTCTCATGGGGTAATCCATATATGTTTTTTTAATTTTTTTTCCTGTGCTATGTTCCTTTTTCCTGTTGTCCTGGATTCTCCCAACTTTTATAATGTGTGTTGATCTTTTAATGCTTACACCTCTTATTTTGGGTGTTGGGTGGGGGTGGGGATGATAATGATGTTTTTTAAAATCATTATCTGTATCATCTCTTTGTTTTTTTCCTTCCTAGACTTGCTACATTTCTGTGAAAGCAATTTCCTGTAGGATTCTGTTATGAGAGTAAACAAATGCTAAAATAAAATTCTGTTGCTAAGGACTTGCTTGAATTCATCCTTCTCTGTTCTTGATGAAGAAAAAAAAAATATCCCAGAAGCACCAGAGTAAGTACCTTTGGTGCAAGTTTGGAAAGAAGTAGAGAAATGATGGTGAAAAAAATGGAGAGAAATAAATGCAACCTTTGGTGCAAGTTTGGAAAGAAGTAGAGAATTGATAGTGAAAAAAATGGAGAGAAATAAATGCATTGGTTAGACAAGCTTCACAAAACAGGAATGAAAGAGTGAAAACTTCTCTGGATAAACCTTGCTAACCTTTAAAGGTAAACTAGGTCTTTAGAGATTGGGAAATGTTTCTTTCCTTCATATTTACTAGCCATCTATATATATATATATATATATATATGGATAAATTTGGCAATCTAATTTTATTTCTTATACAGGAAAATGCTGGTGGTGGGGCTCCTGACGCTGCCCCGAAGTCTGAAAAGGTAGCTGGAAATGAGAAAGATGGACAACAGGAAAGTGCTAATGAAAGTTCGGAGACAAAGCCCAAGTTGGATGCAGAGAGCAAAGAAACAGTTGCAAAGACAGACACACAGAAAAAGGAAACTTCAGTTGTAGTTGACAAGGAACTCTTGCAGGCATGTTCCTTGAAACTAAGTCATCTACTTCTGTTCCCTCCCCAACCTAACGACGACCAAATTTTCATGCTTAGCCTGCTGTTCATGTTCTATGGTCACCATTTTTTGATTTTTTTTTTCCCCGTGGAACAGGCTTTTAGGTTTTTTGATCGGAATCGAGTGGGCTACATCAGGGTAAAATTATTAACTAGTAATTGATTTCTTTTCTGCAAATATAATGTTTAGAATAGTTAAGGATTTAATAATATAATATTATATCTGCTTACTTTCAGGTAGAAGATATGAGGTTGATTATCCACAGCTTAGGGAAGTTCCTCTCGCACAGGGATGTCAAGGTGAGAACGGTTGATAACAAAAAGTTCTTATTTATTATTATTATATTTTTGGGGTCTCGTGAGAAGATTTGAGAGCCTGTGGTTTTAATTGGGTTACCAATTGTTTTCCTGCTTCAGGAACTTGTGCAAAGTGCACTACTAGAGAGCAACACTGGAAGAGACGACCGTATTCTTTACAATAAGCTGGTGAGAATGTCTACTTTGTGAGATTGAATGATGGGTTTATGGGGATTCTCGTTTTGTTTTGCAAGTGTGTTCTGAATTTAACTTATGATAGTCTTCTTTTTCGGGATTTGGAAGCATCTAGAGATACCTGTTAAGTGGATTTCAGGTCTCTTTTATAGATTATGTTCTAATCAACTTGTTCTATTATTTAGACTTGGGATCAACAATCATTGCTAGCACAGTGTCAATTAATCAACTTGTTCTATTATTTAGACTTGGAATCAACAATCATTGCTAGCACAGTGTCAATTTGTTATGTTGTTTTACATTGCCCAGTTAGTTATGGTCATCTTGCCCAAGATGTGCAGTACGTTCTACCTACCACTGAGTGATTTGGGAAACGCACGAGTTTGTTTATGTTAAAATTCTTGAAGCTGTAATGGAGACATTTCTTTTAACTGTAATTCTGTATTCGTCTCGCTCTTCTCCCCATTCCCTTACCCTTACGTCACAATTTTAAATTAAAAAAAAGAAGGCAGATGTAATAAAAAAACATTGAAGTTGAATAATCACACAATGTATGGAGTGTTGATGAGTTACAATGAACCTTTGTTTTTTGTTTTGGTTTTGTTTTTATCATGTCATGGATATTTATGTAATTTACTCGTTTGTTTTAAGGCGTTTTAAGAATGGCTAGGATAGAGGAAAGTATAGCAATAGCACCAACGAGCTCTCGCTGTAAGCCACACGCGATCTGTTTGTTTTGGGATTTGGAAGAAAAGTAAAGACAATATCTCCCCCTCACGATTCTCCCTGTCTCTATCTCACCCTCACCAAACAAACCCAAAAAACCCTCACTCCATACTCAAATTCTTCAAATTCACCAATAGCAACCTTAGCCGGACAATTGAACTTCATGAATAAACGACTCCTCTTTTTTTTTTACCCCCTTTTCTTCTCTGTTTCCTCTGCCTCTCCCCCAAATTAGTCTTTTTTTTTTTTTTTTTTTTTTTTTTGTATTTTCATTTTTGGCCTCTCTCCTCTATATAAGAACAGCCACCACCGGCCACCATCCTTTCTGCTGCTGCTTTTTTCCCTCCCTTTTCTCCTCTGTTTCCTCTCCGTCTCTACCCCAAATCATTTTTTTTTTTTGGCCTCTCTCTCTCCTCTATATGAACAACCACCACCATCCTCCCCAAACACCGCCACAATCTCCACCACGACACAACCCATTAAAGTTCTGGCGAAGGTTGCTATTGGTGAGGTGAATAATTTGGGTTTGGAGAGATCGGGTTTTTTGGGTTTGTTTGATCAGGGTTTTGCAAAGGTGAGGGTGAGATAGAGAGGAAGAAAAGAGAGTGCAGAGGGGGATGAGAAAGGGAGATGATCAGGTGCTAGTGCAAACAAAACAAAAGGCAGAGGCTTCCATCTCCTTTCACCAGTTTCCCTCGGCCGGCAAAAAACCTCCCAAATTTTAATGGCTGACCCGTCATTGTCTCCTTTGGCCAAATCTTCAAGCAGAATAGAGAGAAAGCGGTGTTTGTTGACAGAGATGGAGGAGAGAGAAGGGGTTTCTGTCTAGTGTGAGAGACGGAGGAAAGAGAAGGGGTTGCTGTTGGGTGTGAGAGATGGAGGAGAGAGAATGCAAATTATTACAATTTTTATTTAGTCGCCAGGAGAGCATTTGTCTTCACTTTTCTTCCGAATCCCTGAGCAAACAGATTGTGTGGCCAATATGAGAGAGCTCCTTGGTGCTATTGCGATTTATATTGAGTAATGCTATTGCTCCCTAAGCAAACAGATTGTGTGGCCAATACGAGAGAACTCGTTGGTGATATTGCTCGCAATGGCATTGAGGGAGCAATCAGATTGTGTGGCCAATATGAGAGAACTCGTTGGTGCTACTGCGAGCAATAGCATTACTCAATATAATTTTTTTTTTTTTTTTCCTCCGTCGAAAGGCGTCAGAAGTTGCCATTTATATTGAATTTACCTATTATTTTTTCATTTCATTCTTATATAACAAATATATAGCAACTCTCGTAGCAAAATAATCAAATAAAAACCTCCGTATTTATGTTGGAATTTGGTTTATATATATATATATATATATGTTTTTATCTTTATTAGAAAGGAAAAAAAAAAACAAAAGAAAAAGAAAAAAAAAAATGCGAACTATACATGCATTGATTTGCAACACACGTGATTAATAAAAGATATTAAATCACCAAAACACCATTTTTTTTCTCCCAAAAATGCCCTTCTAACATTTCAAATATCATTTCTCTCCCAACTCCCCCTTTCTGGCGTCTCTCTCTTTCTACTACCAGCATCTCTCTCTCTTTCTCTCTCTATTTGTCTAGTTGCTCGTCGAATCTTTGGTGCTTCATTTTTGTGCACCGCGCTCTATTCTAGTCTCTTTGTTATCCTATCCCTTAAAACTGACAGTGATGTTAAGCTGCTCGAATCCATTCAACACGTTGGAAGAAGGTGAGATGGAGGTGGTGGAATTGACTCAATGGAGAATGAACAAAAATAGTGGAAATTCTATAAAGAGAAAGGGTTTCTTCTTCTATTCGAGCTGCTTATTTTGAGGCATTTTTTCCCTTTTTTTTTTTTTTTTGATAAGTAAAAAGCATTTTTCCCTTTTTATACATGTACAACCCATTGGGGTTCATTTGGCTTTAGATACAAGCTAATTACTATCAGGCTCCGAACTGTAGGACCCAGTTCACGAAGAAAAGGAAATAAACTGGACTCTCTCAAAGCTGGTTTGCAAGTTAAGCGTTTGATGACACAATGTATAAAATACTTTTTTTATACTTGAAGCACTTTTAATTTGTTTGGTATTAATGTTGCTTAAAACATTTTTATTACTAATTTTACTATATTACCCTTACACTAAACATATACTAATTTCCTAATGTTAAGTATTATACAATTTCATTGAGTTCAATAATTTATAAAGATCAACTTTAATTGATTTTTTTATTTTTTAAATATTACATATTTTGCTTATGATATCGAATTTGTATTGACTACTAAAATATAAATGAGTTAAACATATTTTAATGATGATTAATTTATATCTGATTTGGAATCTTCCAGTAATAAAATAAACAAATGTGTTCATATTCTATCTAATAATGAAATTTAATAATATAATATTTTGCAATATAGACAACATTTCTTAAACCACAATTAATGATCTTATTACTTGTTATTTAAGATAATAGCATAAATGTATTATAGTTATTTTAAAAAAAATTACAAGTCATAATTTATTAAAAATTAAACATCTAACAGTTATATAATTAAGAGTCCCAAAATAAACTCCATAAGCTACATCAAGGATGAGATTTAGGAGTATCCTCCACTGCCAGTCATTTCCCTGAAATGTTTGCCAACGGGGTGAGCAAATATGCTCAATAGATGATGACCAACTAACACCTCCTAAAACTACACACAAGTCATGCTCACATAATCATGCTGTTTGACAAGTCCTATGGACCAAACCCCACAAAACCATCATAGTCACAAATCCTTTAGTCTGCTCACGACTATTTGTTATCGCAATATCCATAATGAAAAATCTTAATCCCTTAAAACACACTATCTCCAAAAGAAACCATTTAAGTTGAACCATCATGATACCCAATCTCATACTTCCATAATATCTAACAAAACAATCTGATCATTGACCTAACAATCTATCTGAACAGAATTGAACTAAGAGAAGTGATTGATCAGGCCAGTCCCTTCTGTCAATTCGTTTCAAACAACCATGTTGTTCTTGTCCTCAGGTCGAACTCTAAATATCGCTCTCATGCAATAACCTCCACAAAACAAACACCTTACCACTATCATCAAGACAACAATTCTCACAAATACCTCAATCATAACTATTGTGTCAAAACCTCAATAAGAATTCGTATCATAATCTCTCGACAAAATCTGAATACTAAACATCCACCTGGACAACAATCACAATTTGAATATCTCAAAACTATGCTTGACAACACCAAGCTGGAACAAAATTCCTCAAAATACATTTATACTCATATCAATCCTTATCATCATTCCATAAAAACAACTACCGAGATCATGATCCCTCAACCCAAATCTAGCCACAGCTAGAACAAAAAGACTCCATAAATGATGTGTATCAAAATATACCACTCGCAATAGTACGAATTTTTGTAGGATGGGACTATATAGAGGGTGTCGATCCCACAGGGAGATGAGTATTATTTGTTCTATTTCTAATTAATCCGATTTTGATTTGAAGATAACTGATGATTTGATTGATTGGTTATCACGAATACAAAATAAATTTAAACTAAAATTAAGATTAGAGATCAGAGAGAGAGAGAGTCTTAGGGCTTGACTTCACCACGAACTTTGTACTATGGTCAACCGTTCAATCTTGAGATTTCAACAATTAATATATCATGTAAATTAAACTTAATAACATTCGTTTAATTCAATTTTAAAGAAAGATATTTTATAAATTTCAATTAACTATAACATATCTGCTGTTTGTATGGACTATCAACCTACCTACTTCTAACTAATTTTGTAATATAATCTATCCTTCCTAAGCATAGACTATGAAAATATTCATTTATAAAAAAATGTTAGAACACCATTGCATGATCTCCATTCTTATGTCCGATAGGCCTCCACCAAATACCGTCCAATAAGAATGGGTTGAGAATAGCTGATAAATAATTAAATCTAAGACAAGGTATTAATCATTCAAAAACTATTTAAAATTAAAATCCAATTGAAGTGACTCAAATGCTCATAATCATGCAATCAAAATATATAATTTATTAAAATTTCCAAAGTTAGAACAATCAAACCATAGTACTTAGATCGGGTTACACCAATGCCCTAAGAGAAAAATTAGCTCCTCATGACGACACAAGATATCATCTATGTTGCTGTGGTTGTGACGGCCCTAGTTTTTCAAGCCAGTGCGTCATGTGATGAACCGAAGTTTGACCCGATAACGGATCCGAATGCGGAAGCAAAAACAGAAATCAAGTCTCTAGAGGTGCAATGTAGCTCTAAGGCGCCAAAGTGACCTTCCATGAGGTCACGGAACTCAATGATAACTAACGCGGAAGAAAAAGATCGGAAAAAAGACCAAAATAAGCCCCCAAGGGCAAAATGGTCTTTTTACATGGAAGAACATCTTTAGAAATGTACATCAACCCTAAGACACAAGCGTAACTTCCCATGAAGTCACGGAACCCAAAAGAAAGCAAGCGGAAGTAACGTTTTAAAAATGGATAAGTTTAGCCCTAAGGGTAAAATGGTAATTTCCAACAAGATTTGGGTGCTACCGAGTACGCCATTGGAAAGATAGCAAAAAATTAATCAAGTTAGGCTTGTGAATTACTTGATCCGGAGTCCAAAAGGAAGAGAAAAGTCAAAAACAAAGTTTTGATGTCGCCAC